CTATTCTCAGTTTTCCCTTGGATACATTCTAAGTTTCTGAGGGTTTGCGGCAGGGCAGTTCCTAAAAGCAATGAGGATGGGAATTCTTTTTTCAGATCAGTTCTTACAATGAATCTTGCCGTTGGTGTATTCATCCTAAGTGTTTCCCTTGGTCAGGAAATATATATGTTCCCTTTCTTGGTGGGATCCCCTTCAATGTCCTGATGCCAGCAGGCTATTCAGATGCAGTTTCTTTCCTGTTGGCAGTCTACACCTCAGCTCTGGAAAGCATGACACACTGGTTCCACTCTCTCCATCTTCACACAGAGGACTGGTGATTCCAGACTTCGTCAAAGCTACAGGAAAACTCTGGAAGCACCCGTCACCCACTGATGCCTAGATTTCTGGGTTAATGGATTCAGGAACACTGAGAATGACCTTGAGAGAAAAATTGAACAGGGTTTGCTAGATGGTGTCTAAAATTACTCATCAAATACCTTTTATTGGGGATGGTCCTGAATTAGCCTATTTATGTTTTCTTATTTGTTTGCTTTTTAAAGTTAATTTTTAGCATAAGGCTTTTTACAAATTTAGTTTCATACATTGTTGCTCATTTTTGTACACTCTGATTTCTCCCCTTAGGTGTAGTCCCTGTTGTGACTTAAGTTTTTAAATTAATTTTTATGCTTGAATTTTTGACACAGAAAAGCTAAACAATATAGTCACACCAAAGCCCTTCAATTGTTCTGAAATCCCCCCCAACCTTTGAACATTCTTTTTTTCTCTGGATTTGAATATCCTTCTCACTTTCGAAAGGCATTTTTTTTTAATGTATCTCAAAATCTATCCCAAATGAGTGAATTCAGAAGGGACAGTGGGGCCTCCCATGTGAGGACTTCCCTGGGGGAATGGACCTCATTGGCTGGTCTCTTTACTTGAGAAAAGAGAAGCAGCAATAACTGAGGTAATAATTGAACAGTTTGGTTTTTTTTGGGTCTGGTCAAAGAAATTGCTAATTTAAGTTTGTTTGTTTGTTTGTTTTTCCAGTGCAAAAGGAGGCTAGTGACAGGGTTATTCCCTTTAAAGGTGTAACTTACTTCAATGGCCACAAAATTGCTCAACCTTCTTTGTTAGGGTCATAACCATTTGTAGTCAGAGAGCAAATAATGAACCAGTAAAAATATTGTTATTAAAAGTCTATGAGATAAGTATAAAAATCTACCATGTCCCTGTGACCAATGTCTTCTTGATCTGGATGGGGATATATTGGTGGCAAGTACAAGCTGGGATGGCCCCCTCCAGTGACATTCACATTTTTCTTATCATTAACTTGAATGCATGTTCAATCTCCAGTTTATAGGTCATAGCTCAGATTTACTAGCATAACTTTTTTTTTTAAGATTTATTTCTTTATGCATACAGAACTGGGGTACAGGCCAAAGGTGCAGGGACAGTGAGAGGATTCACCAGAGACAAGGTGGGGAGCATAACCGGCAGATTGATGAAGCACACTACTGAGGGGAGCAGTGGGCAGGTCATGGGAGGTCTGCCGCACCATGTGGTCACCTCCCAGGTGGGAATCGAACTCATGCTGAAGTGGCTTTGGCTTCCCATTGCTATGCTTTAACCCACTGCACCACCGGCGAGGTCCCGGGAAGTCCTATTTTTTTAATTTTAAAAGTAACATTGGCCCTCCCTGGTGGCGCAGCGGGTTAAAGCACAGCACTGAGAATCTAAAGCCTCTTCCGCATGAGTTCGATTCCCGCCTGCCCCGGAGGAGACCACATGGCATGGCAGACCTCTCCTGGCCCGCCCGCTGCTCCCCTCAGCAGTGTACTTCGTTGATCTGCCTGTTCTGTTCCCCACTCTGTCTCTGGTGAAGCCTCTCACCGCCCCTGAGCCTCTGGCCTGTACCCCAGTTCTGTATGCACAAATAAATAAATCTTAAAAAAAAAAAAAAAAAGTAACATTAATTTCAGAAAGTGTAGTAAGCATAGAAAAGCTTAATAGAAAATATGCAAAAGTTACCCATGATTCTACTACCCAAAAATAATCACTCAATGCTTTGAGATATTTCTCTTTCAGTTATAAGTATTTATCTCATATACATATGCATTTCATGTATATATAAGTTTAGAGGAGAGAAAGAGCTTGACTATTTCAAAGTAATGAAACATGCAGGCTGATTGATTCTATGTGGAGAATGACATGAAATGAGGTTGAGAAGGTAAGCAAGAGGTAGTACAGACTGGATGTTATCCAAAAATCAGAGGGAAGTCACACTGAAAGGTACATGTTGGCATTTGTGTTTTTAAAAGATCCCTTTGGCAGTTAGCATTGTAAAACCATTTAAGAAGGGGTTATAGTTATCCACATGAAAGATAATAATGAGTAAGAGTGGTAGCAATGAAGATGAAGGGAAGTGCTTTCAAGTTCTATTTGTGAGATAGAACAAGCAAGACTGGATGGGAATTGAGCAGGGGGTGAAAGGGAGGAGTCAGCAGTGATACTCAAATTTCTGGTTTTAATGACAGGGTGAATGAGGGGCTTATTTACCAAGATAGAGAACCAACAACTTGAATTAGCAATGGCATGGCATGCTAGTCCTTCTGTGCTGACTCCACAATATGCTTTAATAAATCCTGAGGACTTTAATTCCTTTAAGTTCATTTTTCTAGCGTTATTGTCTATTCAGTAAAGTATACATTACATTTGCTACCTTGGTTATAAACAAAATAACAATTATCTGAGGTCTTGGATTTTATTTACTCTTGTACCACAGTTTTTGCATTACATTCTTCTTGTACTAGTGTTAATTCATAACTGAAAACCCTTCCAGTCACATTCAGCAAATCTCTTATACCCCTTTTTTTAGTCTGTCCACTTTTCCAGTATTTTGAAGTATTCAATTTAATTGAAATCAATGAATATTGAAGTGGTAACATATGCATTTTAAAGGATGATTATATTCAATATTTATAATGGAAAAGAAGTACTTTTTTTGGAAAGATTTATTTACTTATGCACATAGAACTGGGTACAGGCCAGAGATGCAGGGGCAGTGAGAGGATTCACCAGAGACAGAGTGGAGAGCAGAAAGGCAGACTGACGAAGTATATGGCTGAGGAGAGCAACAGGCAGGCCAGGAAAGGTCTGCCAGCCATGTGGGTCAGTGCCAGAGTCAAGGATAGAACTCTTGCTGAAGTGGCTTTAGCTTCATAGTGTTGTGCTTTAACCTGCTGCACCACCAGGGAGGGCCCAAAAGTACTTTTATATTCTTGACGGTAGCTCTACTGTCAAGGTAGCTGTTTGCTACCTCTTGGAGGACAACTTAGAGATACACATTTTAAAGCTGTAGGAATTTGTACTTTTTTTATTTCAGTTATCCTCATTGAAAATTTTATCCTAAGGAAATATTCATGGATATATACAAAGGTAAAGTTGCAAGCTAGTATAACATGGTGCTGTTTATAAATATAAAAATTTGGAAAGAAATCCAATGTGCAGAGATGGGAGCTGGCTGTGGTAAACAGTCACTCACATATGTACTAAATGAAACAAAAACAACATTAAAAGTGTTTTAGAAAACTAAATGGTGACATTGAAAAATGTTATGTGTGTGGAATGATATATTTTATATGTGTATATATACAAGTATATATACACACATTAATGCTTAGGAAAAGATTGTAAGAATTTACACTAAGATGTTAATACTAGTTATCTTTTTTTTTTTTAAAAAAGATTTATTTATTTATGCATACAGAACTAGGGTACAGGCCAGAGGTGCAGGGATGGTGATAGGATTCACCAGAGACAGAGCAGGGAGCAGAACAGGCTGACTGACGAAGTTTACTGCTGAGGGGCGCAGGGGGTGGGTCAGGAGAGGTCTGCCGCGCCATGTGGGTCACCTTCGGGGTGGGGATCGAACTCATGGTGAAGCGCCTTTAGCTTCTTATGCTGTGCTTTAACCCACTGTGCCACCAGGGAGAGCCCAGTAGTAGTTATCTTTATAGAAATAGTTATTTTCCTATGTGCTCTGGCAAGGTTGATATAAGTTGTAGGTTATTAATCCTCTCCTATTTTTGCTCCTAGCCTCTCCCCTCCCCAGAGGACTGTGGTAGAAGAATACTGGGGCTTTCATAGCGGTATAGTAGGTTAACACTCATATGCTGGGGTGTGACCTACACCTCTAAAACATATACAGTGTAGTGCTGTAGAAACCCCCAAACTGAGATGGTAATTTGAGTTTGAAGAACAAAGTAGGCCTTTCTATCAGTCACACTTAACATTTATTAAGGGCAATGTGCAGACAGGGGTCCTCTGCACCAAAGTAGAGGCAAGATAGGAGCTCCAACATCGAATCTGGGAAGGGAGGGGAGGGATAGAGGAGGTGTCTTCTTATACACTACTTCATAAAATTAACAGATTGTTTATGAATCAATCTCTGTCTTCCTCCCTTCTCCCTCCCACCAATCAAAGAGCTTTTACACCAAGAGCCTCTTGGCTTTGTCTCTGGGGTTTTCCCCTTACAGCTTGAATATCCATCAGTTTTATCGGGTGTCTGTTGCCAATTTCATGAAGGAACGTGGCTACACGAGCGCCGGTCTCTGGGTGGCAGTTTACAAGCTCTTGTTTTTATTAATCTAATCCAAATTAATCCAAATCAGGGTAAGGAAACTGAGGCTCAGAGATGCTATACATGACTTAAGAGCAAATGACCAAAGGCATCGGAATCTTGGGATTCTAGACTCGGGCTGACCTCATCCAATTAACAAAAAGAGAGGAAACTGGTAAAGATCTGCAAAAGAACAGATCTACAGAAAACAGAAACAACCAAAAGCTGGGGGCAGCCAGAGTGCTCCTCGACTTAGACGTAAACTTCCGGTCCTGCGTCAACTTCCGGAATCAACAACAGAGCGATCCAATCAGAACTTTTCTCGGCGAGCCAATGGGCGAGCATATTACAAAGAGCCAATCCAAGCGGCGCTGTCACTGTTATGGTCCTGTCAGGGCGCCGGCGTCGTGGTGCTTGGGCGGTCGCCACAGAGAGGATTCGGTGGGGCCGAGTCCCGGACAGACTGCGGCCCGCGACCTTGGTCTCCCGCCTCGCTCCCAGCCAGCACCTCCCGTCTGGCGTGCCGCACCGTAGGGTGCGCGTGCAGGTCGGGGCCGCGGCCGCCTCGGGGCCTGGCCTGGCCGCAGGCTCCAGCCCCAGCCCCATCCCTAGCCCTAGCCCCAGTCCCAGCCCCAGCCGCCGCCCCCGCCGCCGGCCCTGAGGGTCCTCGCGATGCAGCCGCCGGGCCCGCCCCCGGCGTATTCCCCGACTAACGGGGATTTCACCTTTGTTTCCTCCGCTGACGCGGAAGGTAAGCCTGACCCCGGAGAGTCCGCCCGCCCGTGGCGGGTGGGGTCTGGGGGGCGCCCTTCGGGTGCGTAGTCGGTGGCGGCGGGGCGGGGACGTCACCTCTGTGCGCCCGCTGGGCCTTGCGGGAGGGCTGGGTGGTCCTGGGACGGGTGTTTGCGTTCCAAGTTACTCGAGCAGCTCTGCCTTTCCCCACACCTTGTGGTGACGGGCTTTTTTGGGCGCTTACGTCGAATGGACCCTTGGATCCCTGAAATTTTATATACCAGAACTGTTTGTTGTCACTCAGAAAGGGGTGGCTGGAGTGGCCAGGGTGCCCTGGCTTTGTTCCTGTTATTTGTCACTAAATAAACTGTGTTGGGATTAGATGCGGCACTGCAAATGCAAACTTCCCGAGGAGTGAGTTCGCAGGTTTGGTTTTTTGTTTTAAAATATTTAATCTGGACGTCAGAGAAGGGGGTCCCGGTAAATCTGCAACTTCTTGTAATTCAGCGAGGTGTTCCCAATGGCTTCTGCAGATTTCCTTGTAGTGCTTTGAGGAAGCAGATGTGCTAGATAGATTTTCTACAGCAGAGGAAAATGTGTTTTTCTCCTTTCTCTCTTCTGTGTAACAATAATTTTACTTAGCTAGTCATTTTCAAATTTTGTTTTTATTAGATTTTCCTTTTTCAGTGGTAAAACTTAGAGGCTGATTGTGTGTGTGTGTGTGTTTAGGTGTAAAATTTCAATCTAGAGAAGAACCTAGAGTTTCCACAGAAATCTGCTTTTATGATGCATCAGTAAACAGTTTTCCCTTTTTTGTTTTGTTTTATTTCTGAGTAGCATCGTTTGGAAAACAGTACAGTATTTTGGGCTGTAATTTAAAATCTGAAATAAAATTTTTATTCATTGAAGAGAATAGAGCTGATACTTTTAAGCTTAATGTGAATATATGGTGAAATACATGTAACATTTCATGTTGCTGCATCTACATTTGGTATCATCTTTTTAGGATCAATTCTCATTTTCCAGTTTTGAAAAGAATTGTCTCATTGAGTGAGAATCAGAGCCTGATGTTTGTTCAGGCCTCTTATGAGTATATGTACTTTTCATAAACTCTTTGTCCAAGAATTAACTTGCCCCCCCCCTTTTTTTAATTTGTTAATTATGCTTGCTTATAAGACCTGGGTTACAGGCCAGAGGTGGAGGGTGGAAGGGCCTCGCGCAAGGATTCATCAGAGACCCAGTGGAGAGCAGCGCATCTACTGAAACACACTGCTGGGGGAGCAGCAGTTGAGACTGGAGAGGACTGCTGTGCCATGTGGGTCAGCTCCCTGGAGGGTGATCAAACTCCGAGCTGATACAGGCTGATTGTGTGTGTGTGTATGTGTGTGTGTGTAAGTAGTTGTAAAAATTCAATCTAGAGAAGAACCTAGAGTTTCCTCAGAAATCTGCTTTCATGATGTATCAGTAAACAAACTGCAGATAGCTTCATAGTGCTGCATTTTGATTCCTTGTGCCACCAGGAAAGCCACCCTACTTGATTTTTAAAAAACTTATATCATTATAGTTATATAAATATCTCCTGTACAACATGCTAATGAAGTATGATATTTATAGTATATAATGGGTGCAAGAATAGTTTTTATTCACTATTGAAAGATCTTAACTAACCTTTCTTGTGGTGGAAAAGATAGCAAGTTTTATCTTTAAAAAAGAACAGTAACCTGAATTTTTAAAAATACATTTTATTATTTTTTTATTTTCCAAACAAATTTTATTGATTTGCCATCATTTGTAAATTACATAATTTTGGGAATACAGTTTCTCACACCTAAACATGTGCACAAGCTTCACTTGCTCTCCACCAAAGCTGCATTGCTAAGACATTATTACCTTACTCCTCTCTGTAGTCCTCTCTACTGATACTCTCCGGTAACCGCCATAGTCTTTACAGTCTTAAGTTATCTTAAGTTATTTTTGTTCTGTTTACCAGTTTTCTTTGGTTATTTATATTCTGTAAATGAATAAGGATCCAGTAGATGTCTTTTCATTTCTGAAACATTTCACTTGCCGTAATCACCTCAAGATCCGTCCATTTGTCCCTAACGGTATTTTTTCATATTTTATAATAGCTGAGTAGTAGTCAGTTGAGTATATATACCACAATTTTTTTATTTTTTACTGCAAAAACATTGGTTTACAAACAAAAGATTTTGTAAAATAACTGATTTATAACAAAACAGGATTTAATTTTTCTAAAAGTAGACTGAGTAGATTTAATTGATTCTATGTTCAGTATGAAAATTTACTGACAGTAAGGTTACTGAAACTACAAAACAATATGAATAAAAATATAATCTAAGACACAATTTTAGAAGTTTCTTAGGCAATAAGCTCTAATCAAGGGAAATGTAGCAATTATAAGATCATTATGTATTTGTGTTGGTTTCTTGATTTCTTCATTGGCCTATAGGTGCATTAAGATATCATTATACCTAAAATGGGACAAGGAAATTTATCTTAACTTTAGTGTAAAACATACTTATTTTATTTTGGTACGCAAGTACTCTGGCTTAGGTACGTATAAGCAAAAATGGACTTCATTTTTCAAATGAAATGATAGGATTTTTGTCCTTTCTCTTGTTACTTGTTAAATAAGTAAAAGCTGGGGTATCTCATGGCACAGCAGATTAGTTTCAGCACTAGGAAGCTATCTTCAGCCACTGCTGCATGAGTTCCATCTCTAGCCAAGGAGCTGACCCACATGGCACAGTAGACCTCGCCTATCTCGCCTGCTGCTCCCCTTAGCAGTGTATTTCAGTCAGTCTGCCTGTTCTATTCCCCACTCTCGCTGATGAAGCCTCTCCACACACACACCTCTGGCCTGTACCCCAGTTCTTGCCGCAGACCTCTCCTGTCTCGCCTGCTGCTCCTTTCAGCAGTGTCCTTTGTGGACCTGCCTGTTCTGCTC